GTTTTAAAATGGGTATCCAAGAAGAGGTTGACAATTTTTTAGGCTCAAATTGGTTGACTAGAGATAAGTCTCTTTGAGTTTAAGTGTTTGGGAGTTAGGGTAATCAAAGATGACCTTTTATACCTAGATTTTGAACTTTTAGCATTCTTGAATGATGACAATCACTTAACTTAAGCTAGCATACCCCTTACTTCACACTTTACACTCCCTGGGTTCATGATGCAAGTATCAAAGAAATGATCTTTATTCATGATCTTTTATTTTGGCTCAAAATGGGTAACTAGGGATGATATTTGTGTTTGGGATAAAGAAACATGGCCTTTCTTCATTGAACCTTCCTACCTTTGAACTCATTTGTGGCTTTTCTCACCCCTTTTTTTTTTTACTCTCTTTTTTTTTTTTTTTTTTTTTTTTTTTTTTGCATCATTGCCCAAATCACAGACCTTGAATTGAGATATCATCAACATATCCTTAGAAAGAAGAGATTTAATCCATCAAGAAGCAAAGAATTATTTGAATAAGAAATGAGTAAGGAAGTTGTGCAATAGAATTATGAAAACATGAAAGATGAGGAAGTAATATATTAACTTCTGAGGTGAGAATACTAACATATCAAGCAAATCATAAAATATGAAACTTTAACAAGGATGTGCCCATTATTTTACTTTAACCATGATCTTGGGCAAAATCAATGGTGGATTTAAGTTACTTATACTACTAATAACTGAAAAGCCAAGATAATTGACATAGTCCATCACTTCAAGAATCCAAACTAGAGGTCGGGTTCACCTCTGACACGGACCTAATGCAAAATGAGAGTGAGTGTGTGCAAGGGGCATGACATTCCAATAACCTGCACAATGACAACCACAAAAATAACAACATATATCCCACAGTAATCAAATAAAGCATATAAAACACTCAATAGATGTAGCATCCACAAGCACACCTACTTACACAGCAGGAAGGGACTCACCTAATACTCCCATGCCAAATGCAAAAGGTTAGTAACACAAAGCAACCAACACTTAGCATGCAACAAGATATAAATAATCGCACAAGAGGAAAGAGACTCACTGAGTACTCCAAAGCCAAATGTAAAAGGTGAGTATATCCACACACAAGCAAACAGGCATGTAAGCATGATGCATGATGAATAAGCATATAACATCAATGATGGATGAGCATGTGAGATGATATGATGCATGAACATGTGAGCAAGGTATGATGCATGTCATGATATGACAAGATAATCACTCAAAGACAAGAACAATAAAAGCAAGCACCAAAACAATAAGCAAAGAAGCAACAAGCACCACATAACAAGCACATGCAATAAGTGACAAAGACTCATAAAGACTCAAAAAAGACTTAACAAACAAGGAAAATCAAAAAATCAAAAATTTCCCAAAGTTAAAGTATTGGCTCGACTCTCATGAATCTAGAATATGGAAACCAGAGATTCTGGGTTCAATCCCTAGTGGAGTTGCTAATATGTTGATGACCACTTAAAATTTCAAAATAATGAAAAATTATATGTTCAAACATATAAGAAAGAAAGGAGTCATCACTCGTCCAAATTATAAGGTGGGACAAGTCACCTAAAACGGTTTTGCGTAGAAATCAGGGTTTGGAGGTTTGGTTAGGAATGAGGAAAGGCATATGCAGATCTTCGGCTTTCTCTCTTCCCCTCCGAAGCGACCTTCGGCTTCTCTCTTCCTTCAGTTTCCTCTTTCTTTCTTCATGCAGATCCTCGAGCTCGCCCTCCTTTTCCCATCACAGAGCGACCGACAGCCATCTAAAAAGGCCGCCGGCGATCACCTTCGTTCTTCTCCTTCCCCAATTCCATACCTTCTGATCTCATCATCTCCAACTCCCTTCCATGTCAAACGCACCTTCCGAGCTATTTCTACAGTCCAGCATCATTGCGGCGACGAATGAAAAGCAGAACAGGAGCAATTGAAGCCGGATCTATTGGTTCGCGACAGCGGTGCTCTTCACGCGAGGATGCAGTGATTCGGGAAATATCAATCGTCATCCAACTGAAACAGATCTGCAGACAAATCTATGCCAGCTACGGATCACGAGTGGGTGACGACAGGATGAATTGGACGCAGATTGAAGGCCCAAATGCATTGTTGCAGATTTTTGTAAAAGGGTGAGGATTGGAGAGGCCCAATTTCCATGTTGCAGATTCTGGTAAAAGCAAGAAACAGATTTGAAAAGTCCAAAAACCGTGGATCCAAAAGGCTCGGAGAGTTACTTTCTGGAATGTTCTTTTAGGGTTTTCTTTGCTTTTGAGCAGTATAAATAGAACTTTAGATGAGGGTTTTTGGAGAGGTCTTTTTGGTTTTGAGTTGGGTATTGAGAACGGCGGCAGAAAAGGAGAGGAATTTTGCTAGAAGGTGTCGGTGATTTGGGAGAAGATTTGGGTCTACTTTGTAGGTAATTTTTCTGAACAGAGGAGTTTTTTTCTGGGAACGGTGGTGAAGGGGACGATGGGAGCCTGGTCTCGTGGGTGGGATCTCTCCCATCAGATCTGGATCTGCATTTCCTAAAAGAATTCTGCCGTGGGTGTTGCTTTGTTTGCTGATTTCTCTTTTTGTATTTTTCATTTAGCCTTCAGTTTAAGATTGTATAGGTTAAGATTGTATAGGTTTTCTTGAGAAATGAATGAAAGATCATAGATTTGCCTGTTTATTTGGCTGATGAGTCTGTTCATCTTTTTGCTGGAAATGAGATGTATTTATGATGTATTTGCTACATTCATTGTTTGCATGTTTGATCTGTTTTTTTGGTTATTTTATATTCGGGTTGTGTTTTTTTCGTTTCGGGTCAATCAAACCCGATCTAGTAAAATATACATAATATAAATAAAACAAATTAATTAATTAAGATAATTGACTTAATCTATGATTAGTAATATTAATTAATTTTAATTAAATAATTTAATTATATTTATGAATCTTAATTTAAGATAATTATATCATTTATCTTGATCAATGTGATTAATTAATTTTAATTAATATTAATTAATATTAAATTAATTATTTAATTAAGTTAATTATCGTATTAATTAATTTAAATCCTTAATTTCTGTTAATTTTAGTAAAAGTCAAAATTATCTTTTCTCATTTTAATTTTACCCAAAACTTTTATAATTAAGCAATTTAGTCCACATATTTTAACTCTTTTTAAATCAGTCCTTTATATTTTGAATTTAATCAAATCAGTCCTCCATGCCTTGAATTTAATCAAATTAGTCCTTTAACTTTTTATTTATGCTCACTTCGCATGCATGTTCTCGAATTTGTCCATTTTAGTCCAAAAACCTAAAAAATGTTTCAATTTGGTTTATCTTTTTTTTTTAAGCTTGCTTATTAAGACTTAAATACAAATATAGTAAATAAGTTGAATTAAAACCCCCAATGTTAAAGTATGCAACCGTGTTTAAATGGAGGATTGTGAGGTACGCGTATTTCCTTCCTCACTCCTAACCCAACCTCTGAACCCCGATCTCTATGCAGACCTATTTTTAGGTGACTTGTCCCAACTTATAATTTGGATGAGTGACGACTCCCTTCTTTTTATATTTTCACACTTAATCCCTTTAAGTGGTCGTCAATAGAGATCTCACATTTAATGAAGTTATTTATTGTTGCATAAAACCTTTAAGATCTTCCTTCTGTGTATCTTCTCTCTAGACAGACCTACAAAATCTGAGGTTGGTCCTCGGGAATAAACTCCGATGCTTAAGTTAGTATTGATCTAGAGAGTCCTCTTTTATCATTATTTTGTCTATATAACGTACCTTTCCTCATGGGTCTTGTATATCTTGGTAAGTTACCCATGTGGCATACTTAACATGATAATCATGATATGATGTGCTTGACGGAGCAAACGTCTTAGGTGAACATAACAAGCCTTAACGGAGTAACCACATTAAATGCACGTGGCGTGTTCTAACAAAGCAAGTCCCTTGGGGAAGGAAGATAAGGTAAGGACAAATGATTATGTAAAAGTGTTCTTATTGTAACTGCCATGCACTTGTGGCAGAGAACAGAGGTGCGGCAGAGCACTAAGCTTTGCCTTGTGTATCTATACCCTTACAATATTCCCCCTCCCCCCTCTTTCATCATTCACAAGGAAAATGGGTGGAGGTCATCTTGGACGTAGTCGAGTTGGGGAATGTATGAGATGGTCATGGCTAAGGCCAAAGTTGAAAGACATGATACGTGGGTACGTGTTATGGCCGTTGCTGAGGTGAAAAGGCATGACACGAGGTCGTGTGTTATGGTCGTAGTCGGGGTGAAAGGTATGACACGGGGTCATGCGTTATGGCAATAGCCAAGGTGGACAAGCATGATGCGGGGTCATGCTTTATAGTCGTAGCTGTAGTCTAAGTGAAAAGGCATGATGCAGGGTCATGCGTTATGGCTGTAGCCGAGGTGAAAAGACATGACACGGGGTCATGCATTATGGCCGTAGCCCAAGTAAGAAGACATGACATGGGGTCATGTGTGATGGTGGTAGTCGAGCTAAAAAGACATGACATGGGGTCATGCGTTATGGCGGTAGTCAAGGTGGATAAGCATCACGTAGGGTCATGCATTATAGCCGTAGCCAAGGTGGAAAGGCATGAAACGGGGTCATGTGTTATAGCCGTAGCCAAAGTGAAAAGGCATGGCACGGGGTCATACGTTATGGCTATAGCCGAAGTGAAAAGACATGACGTGGGGTCATGTGTTATGGTGTAGCTGAAGTGAAAAGGCATGACACGGGGTTATGCATTATGGTCGTAGCCGAGGTGAAGAGTTAAGGTGGGACACTTGATAATTTTTTGTACAAAATGTATATGAAGAGGCTCAAAGTGGGCCTTAAATGGGCCCATTTATGAAGTTCTGAAGCCGGTTAATGTACCAAATGACAACTGTCATTCAAGGATGTGCAATAATAAATACGATCTACAAAAAGCAACCATCACATTCGAAAGGACGTGACGGTAAATTAAACAACGAATTTGAAAGGGCAAGGTCACGACTATTTGATGCAATTGATCATGACCATTGAAGCCTATGTTTGCCATGATATATATATATTCATACTTATGTGAAAATCTAATTCCTTTTGCTGTTAACATTATGAAAACGTTCACAAAGCTTTCTTCACTCTACTTTGGTTTAGCCCTGTTCAGTCGAAATCAGGTAATTTGTGAGCATCTTTCTTTTACTTTTCTTTAGAGTAATGAGAATGTTTTCTGAAGAGACAGTTAGTGATGAAAGGACTAGGGAAAGGTTTAAGGAAGGAGAGAGGGGAGATTTGGGGGTGCCCCAAAATATTTTGGAGAGAGAGAAAATGAAAGGAAGGAGTGTTTCAACCCTGAGGAGGAGATTGTTTTCAAGGTTATGGGGTATGAGACATCTCTGCAAAGTAGGGGTGGTTTGGCCCACTTGGTTGAAAACTACGGGGTGCATGGGCATGTGTTTGTAAGGCCAGCATGGAGGAGAGAGAGAGCTTGTTTAGCCCTGGGGGACCATTGGATGCCCATGTATTCCCATTACATGACGGCTGGACTGTGGTTCCCCATCCCAAAATTGTTGTTATGAGTGTTGATAGAGTATGGTTTGGGCTTGATGCAGCTCACCCCAAACATTGTAAGGCTATTGATAGCCTTTGTAGTGTATAGCCAAGTTCGGGGGGTGCCATTCCCAACCGCGAATGTGTTTAAGTATTTTGATGTGCTGAATTTTGGGAGTGGTAGGGAGAAGGGGTAGTATTATTTTACAAGTTGGGTAGTTAATAAGAAGAAGAGGGGTTTGTTCAACGTCAGGCCATCTTCCATCAAAAGATGGAAAGATAAATTCTTTTTTGTGGATGACACTGAGTGGGATAAGACGGATGTTGAGGCGGAGAACCTGAGCCGGTGGAAGGCGAAAGGGTTGAACCTCAACGAATATAACCTAACCTCGGGGGAGTTAGAGGATGTGAGGATGCTGGAAATGGGGGATGAAGGCGTATTGGACATTATGGAGTACACAAGTCAGAGGATGTTAGACGTGGTTGAAATCTATGGGCCAAACTCACGAAGCGAAGGTGTGTAATTTAACTATTTGTGTCATTAAAGGGTTTTGATCAGTGTTTTAACCTTGTTTTGTTTTGTAGAAGAGATGAACAAGTTCTTGGAGGCAACTAGTGGGGTTGGCATCCCTAAGAAAGGGAGGGGAAAGAGGGCTGAGGTTGGGAGGCGACGTGAAAGGAGCTCGACATCTCAGCTTGAGGTCCAAACCTTAGCTGTTTCTTAACCAGCAATGTAAGGGATGAGGTGATGGTGGTAGAGGAAGGGCCTGTTGTTGCTAAAAGGAGAAGTGTGGAGGAGCAGCAGCAGCAGGGGACTAGGGAGGAGGTGACGGAACCTGTCACCATGTCTCTTCGTGTTGAGGCTAGGCATTTAGCTACGGTTGCTGACATCGCAATTGAACTCTAGGAGTAGGGGTATATCCGCTTGCAAACAACAAACTTCTATGAGTTTGGGACAAGAAGCACAACAAAAAGGTTTATCAATGCCTACTTCTCGAAGGTGGATCGCCGACGTGCGAAAGATGAGGTGGCTGCCAGAGGGTCAGTAGAGGTGGTGCGTCAAGCCCTTGAGGTATGATGTTCCTATATTGCTTGAAGTTTTAATATAATGATCTTGTTAATTGTTCGTTGATTTGAGTTTAACATGTTGTGCAGGTTGTGAATCTTGTGAATGCATTGGTGAATGAGCATCACGAGAGCCTGAGGGATAGGACTCAGTTAAGGAAG